ATCTACTTCAGAAATTAACTTATCTGATACGTGGTTTACAAACATGTTCTCGCATTCCCTAGGTTGCCTTTTCACTCTGTTGATGGAGTCCTTTGCTGCGCAGAAGCTTTTCAGTTTGATCTAGGCCCACATCTATTTTTGCTTTTGTTGCTTATGCCTTCGGTGTCATACCCATAAAGTCGTTGCCAAGATCAATGTCAAGAAGCTTTTCCTCTCACTTTTTAAAGATCCCGGTTATCCAAAGCACCTGGAACACTGCAACGTGTGGGGGAAGGGTCACGTGGAGTCAGCAGGCTCTGGATGGGAGAAGTGGAAAGCAGATGGCTATGGGAGCTGAGGGAGCTGAGTCCCACCGTTTGCATTTGCTCTTGACAAGTTCCTGTGAAAGGAAGTGGTGTGCTAATGGAAGACTCCCTCTGCTTCATCTAGAACAGAGGACGGCCCTGCACTGGGGGCGGAAGGAGGGGCACCGGCGTTTACAGTTCCTGTCTGACTGATACAGACTCAGAGGCCATCAGTGAAGATAAATACTGGCATACAGACTGATCCTCAACCTCCCAAGCGGTCCATGAATTTAAAAAATGAAAATCTTGCCATGGCAAGCAATCAGAAGTCAGTTCACTCACTTTTATCATACCGAGGGGAGAGATCAAATTCGGTGATGTCCTTGGCATGTGGTGCTTTTAAAAACAGCCCTCTAAGGCAAATATGTTTAAGTGAATGCTTAATCTTCTCTTTCTCCCACTGTGGGCCAGGGAGCCAGGGATGGGTTCAGAAAGGAATAGAATTAGTTCTGTCCTAGAAGAGCCCGGAGCACGGGACACCTGCTCTGCCTGGACGACAGGCAGCAAACATCCCTGATGTTTTCCACTGTTGAGAGTCCTTCTCCACAAACAACAGAAAAGGCCGGTTGGTCTCGGAAGGAGCCAGTGCATTTTCACCCAAGAGAAAAGCCAGAGGGAGAAAAGTAAAGACAACTAAACGCCTGGGACGAGATTTCTGTGCACAGCGCTGGGGTGGTTTTGGCTCCACTTTCCTAAATGACCTGGTGCACATAGTAATTGCTGTTTCAAAGGAAACCTTCCTGCAACGAAGTGCCACAGAGCTTGAGCTAGCCTCACTCTTACCCTTTCCAGAGAGTGACTTTTCTCTGGAAAATGCTAATAACAGCAAATACCTGCAACACAAGGCAAGAAAGGGGTCTGCTGGGCATCCAGGGTGTGCAGATCGAAGCTTGTGGAGAAGTTCAGTCTGAATCTCCATGTGGCCAATATCTGCTACGCCTATAATTGCTGCTAAAAGTTCACGGTGGCATTTTGCTGATGTGCCTAAAATAGGCTTCTTGGGGCTATTGGATGCGATGTGACAGTAGTTAAGGTATAAGGGGCAATGATCCAGCGGAAATCTTGTCTAAGTCATTTTGATAAGTGAACTGCCTTGCAAAAGCTCCTTAATTGCTCCCACATTCTTCAATTGTTCCATTTAGCAGGGTCCTTTAAAAGGTCATTAATCAATCACTAAAGATGTGAGGGTTTTACATTTTGCTTGCTTAACAAAACACAGCCCTAACAAAATATCTCCTGCTTAATTTCAGATTAGCTGATACCAGGGTGCCTTCTAATACTAGGCAGTCAATCTCTTTAATTGTGCATTGGAGAATGTATCTGTTTAGCTCTGGGCCAATGCACAGGGGACCTGGAGTTTAGGGGCTGGGTGCAAGGATGAAGAATCATAAGTTGAAGAACTAAATTTTAAAATGTGAGGGTACAAACAGTCTATGTGCTCATTCAATCTCAAGTTTGATGAGGGAAAAATCTTATGCAAAACTGGAAAGACCAGGCAAGCCTGGGCAATGTGTACTTACGCACAGCACAGAGGTATGTTTGCAACATGGTTCTGATACATTATGACAATATCCAAAGGCGTCCATCCAAAAGAAACGAACAACTAAATTCCTATGTGGTTGATGCATGTCTAAGGTGGGTTCTCAGGCTCAGCGCTATTGCCATTGCGGGCTGGATGATTCTCTGTTGTGGGGGCTGTTCTGCATGTTTTAGCAGCACCCCTGGTCTCTACTCACTAGACGCCAGGAGCACTTCCCCCACCCAGTCATGACAACCAAAAATGTCTGCACACTTTGAGAAATAGCTCAAGAAATAGCCCAGGTTGCCCCCATTGGTTGAGAATCACTGGTCTAGACCACAGAATTATACTTTGTCCACATGTTACTGAAAATAGTTAATTTATCAAGATAACAATAAAAACCATGTTGAAATATGACTGTGTGTCGCCCACTTTCCTTTAGTCAGTAGTGTTCGTGGACACAGTTGGGGTGTTCTCCCCGCTGGAGTCCTCGCACGTCTGTTGGAGTCTGCACACGTGTGCATCCTTGCTCATTAGCAGCCTGTCTCTTGGCAGCCTCTTCATTGCTATTTTTTTCTAGGAAAAAAAAAGAACAGGGTAAAGTCATGTGGCTAATAGAGGGGAAAACATAGATGGGATGGGTTAACACCAGTGCTTCCTCGATTTCCTCCCAATGCAGCACGCTATCCAGTGAAGAGCAGCCCCAGGGAAAGCATTTTGACTCTAAACTCAAGCAAATCAGGTCTTAGGAACGGCTTTCCCACCTGGTGTTTGGGTGGGTTTGTGAAAGCCTCTTAACCTCCCTGTTCTGGGCATCCTCTAGTTTATGAGGGGCAGACACAGCCCTGCCTTCAGGGTGGTTGTGAGTCCCAGGTGAGCAAACACAGGTGAAGTCCAGGCCTGGCATGGAAGGTGACGCTCAGGCCTCCTGGCTGCTGTCGTGGTCTTCCTCATTGTTATGACTCTGAATCTCTACATTTTTAATCCCTGTTCTCTTGTCTGTCTTCTCTATCCACCTGTGAGTCTCTGGAGAGCAAGGCCCATGTGATACCCACCATGTGTGTCCCAGGGCCTCACTCAGTGCCTTGCACACAGGAGACACCCAACAGATGCTGATGGAATAAATGCCAAATGAATAGAACGAGGAGAAGCAGAGGTGGGAGTGGGAGTCCCAGTTTGGGCAGGAGACGGTTTCTGGGTGGACTCAAGGTGCCTCTGTACCTGTCCAAGCATTTGAACCTGGGTGACACCATCAAGTTCTAAACAAGGGACAGCTCAGGCCATCAGCATAGCTATGGTCCCTCCCCTCTTCCTGATCACAGATCACACATTTCCTGGGCTAGAACAACCTCCGTAAATGGGAGAAACTTAATCAGCCACCCAGGGTGACCACCTGCTGAAATAGCACACCTCCCCTGGGGAGCAACAATTCCTGGAAACATGTGGGAAACTTTCACAACTTGGCTCTAAAAATAATAAATAGGAGGTTGATATTCCAGGGGGACGTTAGAAAAGTGACTTCCTTTCAGATTAACAAGCAGACAGGGAACAGAGTAAATGCTTTTCTGTAAATGTGTTTTTTAAAAAAGGTAGAGACCAGCTTGAGGGAGATTTTATAGCTTGTTTCTTTTGTTCCTCTCACAAGTGGAAATTATGGTTCCAGGATTTTGCATGCCCTATTCTGTATCTTGTAAAATTGCAAAAAACATGGGAAAAGCCAGTGAGATACTGCAGATTTTGCTCTGTTTCCCTGGAATCAAACAAGAAACAGAATTTTCAATTTGAAGGCTTCAGCCTGGAGGGAGGCAGCATGGGGGAGGGACGCGCTGCCTTCTGAGGCAGGGCACTGAAGCTCCTCTGTCGCGCTGGTCTGAGCCCAGCACCAACCACAGAACCACGCCTTATCACTTTCCTTTTCGGAAGCAGGGGTGGAGGGTGGGTCACGTCCTGGGGTTTTCAAGAGTCTTGAGGTTATCTCTAAGGGTATAAAGATCCCAGCAAGATCTCGCTGCTGCTTTCTCTTGCTTTCATTCCAGCTCACTGCCGTGGAAAGCAAACACCAGTAGTGTGCATCAGCGTTCTAGCGGGTCTTGAAAACAAACAATTGTTTGGGAGAGAGACTCCCTTACCTGATGTTTGATGATGAATAAATGAAAAATCTCAGGACCACAGAGGAGGAAGGCAGTGGTTTCTGTTTGGAAGACTGGAGAGGGTTGGAATCTTTCATCTGCCCGTTTGAGTGTGTGTGCGGCAAAGACTGTACATTAATAATGCTTTGACTTGTCTGCTTTCAATTTCAGACCCATTATTCTCCAGAATCAGGTTCCGAATTTAAGTGCGGTTAAGTTGAAGTTGACAATCGTTATCAACAGCAAAAGACTATTTCTAACATTCAGCGATAGACAGGCGGTCACATTCCCAGACAGACCCACACATGATAAATCAGACGCATAAAATTAAAGCGGGAGGGGCCTGAGGATCATCCAGGATCCGTTCGTGGGCCCCGGGGGCGCAGGCCGCCTCTGAACCACACCGAGGCTCGAAGTCCATTTTCAGGAAAAGATGTTAGAAATCTTTTGTGCTGTTTTCTAATGTTGACTAGATATTAACGTTTTAGGGTCCAGAGAGTAGTTCTTATTTTCTTGTTAAATTTTCTATTATTAAAGTGGTAATGTGAGAATGTAATAAAACAATTTTTTCGTATGAATCAATAAACATATTTTCATTCTAAGCTAAACAGTAACAAGTCTATTTTGGTCCATTCATTAAAAGTTGTTCTGTACTTACTTAACAAAAATTTGGAACAATTAAGTGACTGACTTCGTGCCAAACAGCTACTGAGAGAGACAACCAGGCTTAGGACTCAGGTCTCCTGAGATCTTGCCTAACTATTTCTCTCTTGATCAAGAGGAGAAATTTATACCCATGAGGACAAAAGGGAAAAGGAAATTACTCCACCATTTTTGTTTTTGTTTTTCATTTTCCTCATTACCCCCCATGTAGTAATGGCTTTACTTACGAAGGAAAATTGCAAACACTGAAACACATACATTTCTATATCTTTAAATATAATTTTTTTCTTTTAAAAAAAAAACTCTATGTTTTCACTGGTTGCAGTGGATTTCTTTGTTTTTCAGGATATTCTTTCTCCCTTGTACTGCTCTCCAGAGCAAAATGAGCTGATGGAAGAGAAGGACATTTTAATACAGCTGAAGAGCACAGATCAGGTAATGTGACCATTGGGGGCTACGATGCTTCTTCCCAGCAAACTTTAAGGAAAAATGACACGAATGAGCCGAATCTGATTTTAATAATCATGCCTTGCAGGATGATCTTGGATGTATCAGGACTGCATGCCCTGAGGTAGATTAAAAATGAGTTTATTGTTCTCTAGCTTGAGCCATGATCCATGGACAGAAATATATATATGTCCCTTTCTCCCAGCTCTGGGTGCTGAGTCTCTTGCTTGGATAGCTGCCATGTCTGCTGGGAGCTCACGCAAATCGTTAAAAGAGATCCAGGCAGACACGGTGTTGCAGCATTCCAGTACACACTGGGAGAGTTGGCTGGCTACCCAGAAATTGGACTGTGGGCAGCCTGGACATCGCATGACACTGAGTGTAGCCAAAATCAGCAATTAATGTATGAGTACCACTCAATTTGCTTAAACCTGGCCGTTTCCCTCTCTCTGTCTCATATTCTGCTATAGGAAGAAAAAGCCAAAAGATCACCAATGTTAGTGTCTCTCACAGTTGCAAGGTCTATGTACACTTGCTGTATACCTAAATCAATGGATGTGACTTTGTTCACTCATTTATTCGGTGTGTCTGTACGGAGCATCTGCTCTGAGCCTGGTGCTGGGTTAAAGCTGGAACAGGCTGTCATCAAGAAGTGGAGATTGGGACAGTAGATAGAAATTAGGCGAGAGAAATCTGAACTCAGGCAGTGCAGTGGGGAGGAAGAACGATGTCAGAGAGGAGTTGGCAGAACTTGGGAGCTCATGGGAGAAGCAGATGTGGCTGAGTTGGGCCCGTGAAGGGTGGTCTGGGGGGGTGCAGTCGGCTGCTGGGCTGGAGCAGGATTGATGGTGGGGAGGCTGAGGGCTTCAGATCTTGCACAGCACCCCGTCTGCTGCTGGTCTCCTTTGAGACGGAGAGAAGGGCTGCAGCCTGGGGTCTCCCACAGGCCTTCCCATCCAGCCAGATTGTAAGAACATCACTTCATTTTTATTATGTATGGCTACCTTCTTATTACAAGTGATAGCGGTTTTCATTTATAGTAGACTTATGCATTTTTCTTTTAAAATGTAAGTGATAATAGTGACTCAGAAAGAGTTAAGTAAATAGTGGCATGGTTTGTGGATACAATACCTGATGTGGAGGTCACTCATTGTTTCCAGTCTTGTTTCAATCCTGTTCCAGAGGTCCCAAATGACAGGGACAAGTGTCCTGGCCGCTGCTCAGGTGGACAGGGTGTGGGGAGGTGAGGGTGGCTCTGTCCACAAGGGACAAGGGGCCAGGCAGAGATGCAGACCAGTGTCTCCTGCCAGAGAGCAGAGCGATTGAAGGAGTAAGGGCCGGTTGCCGAGGGATGGCCATGGGGTCTCCTGGAGAGAGCGTTCAGCGAGGGCCACACATCCAAGATGTAGGCAGCAGCCTCCTTCTTAGTGGCAATTTCTAAACTAAAAAGCAAACGCTTTGAAATGCCTCATCAGTAATATAAATATCAGCTCACATCTCTTTTAATTTGAATGATAAATGTCAAACTATCAAACACTGCATTGTTTTCTAAATTCAAATTTTACACACTGCTCTCTAGGGGTAGAAAGGAAGGGAAGAGAATTCCAGAGAAAGAGATCGGGGAAGTTCCCTGGGAGGGGTGAGAGGGGCAGAAGAGGGACAGAGACGAATGGGGGCAAGAGGACCTGTGACCTGTGGGAGAGGCTCCGAGCAGAGCACAGACCCCAGAGGGCTGCTCATTTCTCCCTGTGCAGAACTGCCAGGCTTTTCCTCTTCCACGCTACAGCGACCTTGTAAAAATGCAGATTGCCATACCTCGTCTGGCATGAGCTTCGGGTGCACATGGGCGCGAGCTCACATTCCAGGGACAATTTTTGGCATTATAAACCAACAGCTTTAAAACATTCAAACCATTTGACACAACATTTCCATTTCAGCAGTTTTTCCCTTGGGAAATAATCAGCTGAGTATATAAAGGCATATGTAGGGACATACTCCTCACAGTGTTTTTATAACAGAAAGGAAACAAAGGGATCAAGAAGTCTACTAAGAGGTAGATGGTTAAATACATTATATTTCTGCATTTGAAAGATCCATCATTTGAAGTATTATTTTCTTTAGCATTTTTGTGGAATCTGAGAATCTCCTGCGTTCTTATTGACTTAGGACTTTTTCTTTAAATCTTCTTCTTTTAACTTAAATAATCCTTAAAAATCCTTAAAAAAATCCTAATCCTAAAAAAAAAATTCAGTGAAATCATTGACTTGTTCTGATACTTATATATTTTTTCGAGTACAAATTAAAATACATAGTGATTAAGATATAGACATTTTAATCCAGATCCTACTTGAGGCTCCTTTGGAAATGACCAGTGGTGAACGATTATGTTTTGAGAAACCCTGACTTAGACGCCACCCGGTGCATCACTCTGCAATCATAGACATGAGGCTGTAGTTCTGTGTTTATGAACAGGGAGAAGTTTATTCCTCAGCTATTGCTATGTGTCAGCAATCCGGTTTGTCCTGGAAACACAGGTCAAAGTTCTGAAAACTTCCTGGTGGAATAAAAAATAGCAGATTACAAAACAATGTGTATCTCATTATTGTAAAACACGCTGTCTCTCTACTACACACACACACACACACACACACCCCTACACACCTGCGTGCACGCATGTAGAAACATGGAAAATGGTCTCCAAGGGAGAGACTCAGGTGTGTGACCGTGGTTAGATCTGCACATCCGACTGTGGGTGATTTTCTTTTTGCATATATGCATGTTCTACTTCATCTGAAATAAAGATGGATAAAATGTAAAAATCTTGAACGTAGTGAAATGGACTAGCGCATCTCTTCCTCTGAGGGTCAACGGGAAGCGGCTCTTTAAAAGTGGGGGCAGCCCCTCCTTTCTGGGTGTCTATTACAACAAGTTGACGGTTTATACGGGACCTTCCACTGTGAGAGCCAGTTTCCGCCACTGATTTAGAAATTCTCGTTGAAGCTCTGTGTCTGTGATGCCCGGGCACCAGGACTCTCCCACATGTGGGATACAGTGGGAGAAACACTTTAATTGAGGATTTTTTTAGGTGGAGTTTTGGGTTGCGACAAGTTTAAGCATCCGTGCCGTCCTACTCTGTCAGTAAGGAGAGGTCTGTCTGGGCTTGGGAGGTTCCGAGTTCTGATCCTTGTCGCATTGTGTTCACTGCCCAACAGCCACACGGAGCTGTCCAGGGTACCCTGACACGGCTTTCTTCACAGCACAGGGAGGGGACAATAGCATCTCAGTAAGGCCTCCTTTTAAACTCCCACCAGGACACCTGAAAACTGTCAAGGGTGTTTAATATGCATTCTGTGTTTAAAAAGGAAAAAAAAATTACAAAGGGAATTCTAGGAGACAAAGAGCCTGGAGAGAATGTGCCATAATGCACTTTCCTCTTGCTCCTGGAGAGCGGTCCTCGCCTTCCCCAGTGACTGATGGCCCTTTAGCAACTGGGGATTTTCAGGTGAACAGAACTGGCCTGCGATAGAGGCCCCATTTGTAATACCTCACGCACAAATTACTGCAGTCTTCATCCTTACGTGATAGCTGCGCCATTTGTGCTTTCTTTCGAGAGATGAATAATTAGGCTTTCAGCACTAACCTTAGAAGCTGGTCTTGCTTAGGTGGCCATGGTAGGCAGAATTCTAAGACTGCTCAAAAGATTCCCGCCCCTGGTGTGTGTGCCTTATGTAGTTCCTCCTTTTGAGTCAGGGTGGGGCCTGTTAATATGATGAGATGTCACTCCGGTGATTAGGTTACGTGTCAGGGCAGAGGTGAAAGAATTTTGCAGGTGACGGAATTAAGGTGCCTAATAAAGTGACTTTGTGTTAATAAAAGCATCTATCCTGGGTGGGCCTGGTATAATCAGATGAGCCTTTAGAAACAGTCTAGAAGTCAGAGAGGGAAGAAATCAGAGATTCGAAGCATCAGCGACTCTCTCCTGCTGTCCTTGAAGACGCAAGCCGCCCTGCTGTCTGTAGCTGGAAGGAAGTGAATCCTGCCAACTAGCACCTGAGCTTGAGGTGAACCCTGCGACCCCGGAGAGAGCCCAGTGCCAGCGAACATCTTGAGTTCAGCCAGTGAGACTCTGAACAGAAGATCCAGCTAAACAATGCTCAAATTTCTGAGCCACACAAACCGTAGTAATAAATGAGTATTGTTTGAAGCCACCAGGTTTGTGGCAACTTGTTACAGACCATAGACAGCTACTGCGGAGGTGCTCACTTTATGTTAGACAGCAGCGTGGTGGCTGAAGGCCTTTCCATCTCAGCGGCACAGAAATTGACCCCTACCTCATCCCACTCTGGCTGTGGGTCTCCTCTGGAGACCTGGCATCCCTGGCTTTCATGGGAAGGTCCCACCTTTTGGGATGTCTTCATTAGGGGGCTGTAAGCTATCCCACTGGGAACTTCACATGGTAAGAACTAAGTATGAAAAGAATTAGGTGTTTAGACCATGTTTAAGAAACTTGCCTGCTTGGGCTTTTCCTGTTGACCAACCATCAGTTCCATCTTCTTTGCCCTTTCACACTTGGGGAGACTAATAAGTAGAAACCCGTTATCCATGTACGTCTGTATCTATGTAACTATGTATTAAAGGTCTTCCTGCTTCTGTGTTGACCGCCCAGTTTTTGAGATTTTATAATCCTGGTTCACTCTTCACACCTCAAATCTTATTTGGCTGCCATATTGCTTTGTCAGGAAGACATAATGATTTTGGTGTATTTTGTCTCTTTTTCATGTTTGGCTACATATTCTTTCTATTTGTCTTTCTATTCTCCTTTCTCAATTCTAAACTTTTGTTTCAAAATGAGCAAACTGCGGAAAAACAATGATTAACTGCCTTTTATTGTCTTAGAAATCCCCAACAGCACACGTGTCACAGGGAAGTTATTTATACGTGAAGCGCTCCCGCGGCTTGCTCTGCACCTCCCTCAGCAATTCCAAGGG